CGCGGGCTCCGGCAGCCACTCACCTCAGCCTCCCAAGGCGCGGGATTACAGGCTGAGCCACCGAGCCCGGCTGGGCCCTTTGCACTGCCTCCCTGAAAATGCTGATGTCACAATCTCCTCACTGTACAGATACAGGGATATCATTCTCGCCATGAAATATGCTGGACTCCCAAGCCATTGGCTCTGGCCCAGACCTTTGCCCTAAGCTTCAGATCCACATTTTCCAACTTCTTACTGAGCATATGAGGAGGGACTCAAACAAAACTGGAATTATTTTTTAGAGGGTGGGCCCCTTGTAGTACAGGCTTCACCCTCTAGGTAAGTGTTCTAACAACCCATCAGCATCGGTGTACTAGCTAGTGTTGTTATGAGAGGCTGTGTTCGGCTTCAGTGAATTTTTTTGGAGATTCTTTCAACGCGTTTGCCCATTTCATGATGTGTGATTTACGAGCCCACCCGCCCACATCTCACTGAGTGTTCAGCAGCTTTTGATCAAAAGTGGCATGGCTGTTGTGCCCCACCCTCCTCTTCACCTGATCTTGCCCTGAGCGACTACTTTTTGTTTCCCTGGATGAAAAAAGTCCTCAGAGGGAAATGTTTTACTGATGGGGAAGAGGTGAAACAAAAAATGGCAGCAGCACTAAAAGGCATGGAAATGGGTAAGTCCAAGAACTCTTTTGGACAGCATAAAAGGCACCTCAGTAGGTGCATTCCATCACACGGAGAGTACTCTGAAGGTGACTGAAGATTAAACATGTAAGAATAAATACGTAATTTTTAATAAATAAGTTTTGCCGGGCTCAGTGGCTCAGCCTGTAATCCCACGCTTTGGGAAGCTGAGGTGAGTGAATTGCCTGAGCCCGCGGGTTCGAGATCCGCTTGGGAACTTGGCGAGACCTCATTTCCACAATAAATCAAAAATTAGCTGGGTGTGGTAGCACGCGCCTGTAGTTCCAGCTACTTGGAAGGCTGAGGCAGAAGGATTGCCGGCGCCCAGCACATCGAGGCTGCGGTGGCCGGGAGCGGCCACTGCACTCCAGTCTGGGTGACAGAGTGAGACTCCAACTCAAAATAAATAAATAAATTCTTTTGGGGTCCCTCCCTCGTATATATGACCCAAAGATGCCTTAAGCTATGCTGATCCTAAACAGAGCATTTCTATCCTCCGACCTCCAACATACATATTATCAGTTCTGGACGATGGTACTACCATCAACATGTTGAAGCTTGGATTCATGCTTGAATCCAACTCTCCTCCACATCTGAATAATTATCAAACCTGTTTATCTCAGACACACCTCTCCTTTAGACTTCCTCTTTTTTTTGAGTCAGGGTCTCACTCTGTTGCCCAGGCAGAATGCAGTGGCATAATCATGGCTACTGCAGCCTCGAACTGCTGGGCTCAGTCAGGCAAGCCTGCTGCCTCAGCCTCCCGAGTAGCTGGGACTATAGTTGTGCACCACCATGCCTGGCTTACTTTTTGATTTTTTGTAGAGACGAGGTCTCGCCATGTTGCCAGGCTGGTCTCAAACTCCCGAGCTCAGGCAATCCTCTCACCTCAGCCTACCAAAGTGCTAGGATTACAGGTGTGAGCCACTGCCTAGCAGCTTCCTCTCATTCCACTTCCACTTAATTCAAGAGTTGACAATCCCCTGGGCCATTGCCACAACTTCAAGTTCAAAGACTCCCTGCCATCACTGCAGCTGTATCTCATCTGGTCCCGCACCAATCAACAACACTTAGTATACCCACCCCCATCCAAGTGATGTTATCATTGCTGTGAAAAGACCTCTGCTGGCTCCCTACCGCCTGGAAGGTAAAATCTAAAACCTTAGGCACATCTGGTTCTTTGCAATCTGCCTCCAACCCACTCTCTGCTTCATCTCCTTTACCCCTTTCCCTGTGCTCTGGCCTCCCTGAATGTGTCACATCTGTAGACACAGTGCTCTTGCTCAATACAAAGCCAGGCACTTATGCTGTTTCCTATGCTTGGAATGACCTTTCTTTCACTTTTCATTCAATCAGCTCAAATGTCACCTTCTCTGTAACAAAATCCCCACACCCTCAGGCAGTAACTCCCCAACTCCGCAGACCTTTAATATATAGTACTACGTTGTCTTTTGCTTTCCTAGTTTAACAGTGACCAGTTCCATGAGAGCACAAGGCCCTCTGAATCCCACGGCCCAACACAGTGCCTGGTCTAGAGCAGGGCTCAATCAGTGCTTGGTGAAAGCAGGAGCGTAGGTCTTACTTGCCACAGGTTGGTGCGGTTTGGCTGGAACCGGTTCCCCCATGGGTAAGCCTGACCTGCCAGGAGCACAAAGAGACAGCAGAGGAGGGAGCAGTGAAGAATGGAGAAGAAAAAAGAGAGGGAGGGACCAAAAGAAAGTTAAGAGGTGACAAGAAAAAAAGAGGGAGGTTACTTACTTTTATTTCCCACACCTATCCCTCCACTCACTATGCTGAATCAGGAGCCCCCACTTCCTGATGTGTTCCAGGGCAGTGCAATTCTGACTGTGGTCTGGGACCAGTGCCAATCTGCAAACTAGTTGTTACCAGTTCATGCCAAGATAAGTACAGAAATTGAGTAAGCATTGAGAAACTTGTTAATTGCACTTAGGTTGCATAAATGAACAAGCAAGAAGCAACCTCATTTGTCACATTAAAAACTTTGATTATTGATGTATCTGGTGTTCATTTAAAGAGCGTGTAAAGGTGCTTAATGTGGGGAATTGCTTTTCATTCTAACTTCTTGTGTAGTTAGGATTGCAAAATAACAAAGTGACAAAGTTATGAGCAAACATTGATCCTTTACATTAATCTTTGTACCCTATGGAAAAGGTGTGTAATTTTGGTAGTTCTTCTTTTTCCTTATCTATGTTGTTCTGATTGTATTTATTGAAATGTAACATATCTGTGAAATCCCTAACAAAACATTTTATGCCTGTTTTTTCATTCCATCTTTCCAGTTATTAATTTTTATGGCATTTTACAGATGCATTTGTCTGAGATGGATTGGAAATGAGTAAAACAGCCAGGTACAGTGGCTCATGCCTGTAATTCCAGCACTTTGGAAGGCTGAGGAGGGAGAATCACTTGAGCCCAGGAGTTTGAGACAAACATAGGCAACATAGTGAGACCCTATTGCTACAAAAAAAAAAACTGCCCAGCACTGTGATATGTATCTGTAGTCCCAGATACTCAGAAGGCTGAGGTGGGAGGATCACTTGAACCCAGGAATTCAAGATTGCAGTCAGCTGTGATTGTGCTACTGCACAATCAAAGACCCTGACTCAAAACACACACAAAACTGGACCTTTACCACAGATAGCTTAAGAAGCACTGCTCCGCGACCCGCCTGGGCAACTTGGCGAGACCCCATCTCCACAATAAATCAAAATGAACTGGGCGTGGTAGCGCGTGCCTGTAGTTCCAG